CACCAACATGAATAGTTTGGGAAGCTCTGCCCTAGGCCATGGCCCTCACCAACCCTGTTTTGCACCCATTTTTAGTTGGTTTTGCCTAGCTAGAAGGTGTTCTTGAACCCACAATGCCTTTTCCTTGCCTGGATGGAGGATAGAGAAGGATGTGTGTGTCTGCAAGAAACTAGCCCACTGTGCAAAGGTAAAATGTACCTTTGTTGCTCCACCTATTATTGCTTCTGGCCCCGCCCACTTCTGGCTTGTGGTCTCTGGAATGTGGCCCTCAAGCTGAAAACAGTTCTCTACTCCTGAGTTGTTGAAAAATGCCAGAACAGTCAGAACTATGAGAGCTAGGGATTGAATTTTCTGAAAATGTCAAACTTATCCACATGGAGGTTTTTTTCTAATTAGAGTTACTATTTTTTAACCTGCTCAGCTAAAAATACAAACTATTCTCACATTAATATTAAATGCACATTATATGCATATATATGCCAGGTCTCCTAACGTAGCCAGCGCATAAACTGACACATATAATAATGCATAGCTGTATAAAAATACATACTAATAATAATAATAATAATAATAATAATAATAATAATAATAATAATAATAAATTTTATTTATATCCCGCCCTCCCCAGCCTTAGCCGGGCTCAGGGCGGCTAACAACAATAAAACAGTACAAAAGTACAACATAAACAACACTCTAAAATCATTCATTCTAAAATTAATTAATTCAAGCCACTGGCAGCCATTGGGCCAGAGCTCCGCGAAGATTGCCGAAGGAGGGAGTCAGGCTGTGCCCTTGCCAAAGGCCTGGTGGAACAGCTCTGTCTTGCAGGCCCTGCGGAAAGATGTCAAGTCCCGCAGGGCCCTGGTCTCTTGTGACAGAGTGTTCCACCAGATCGGAGCCACAGCCGAAAAGGCCCTGGCTCTCGTTGAGGCCAGCCTAACTTCTCTGTGGCCTGGGACCTTCAAGATGTTTTTATTTGAAGACCGTAAGTTTCTCTGTGGGGCATACCAGGAGAGGCGGTCCCGTAGGTACGAGGGTCCTAAGCCGTATAGGGCTTTAAAGGTTAAAACCAGCACCTTAAATCTGATCCTGTACTCCACCGGGAGCCAGTGCAGCTGGTATAGCACCGGGTGAATGTGATCTCGCAGCGAAGACCTTGTAAGGAGTCTCGCTGCAGCATTCTGCACCCGCTGGAGTTTCTGGGTCAGTCTCAAGGGCAGCCCCACGTAGAGCGAGTTACAATAATCCAGTCTGGAGGTGACCGTCGCGTGGATCACAGTGGCTAGGTCAGGGCGAGAGAGGTAAGGAGCCAACTGCTTAGCTTGGCGGAGATGGAAAAATGCCGCCTTTGTTATAGCTGCAATCTGCGCCTCCATGGAAAGGGAGGTGTCGAAGATTACACCCAAACTCTTAACGGACGGTGCTGGCACTAATTGCGCCCCCGCAAGAGATGGGAGTTGCCCCCCCAATCCCATATCGCCCCGTCCCAGCCACAGGACCTCTGTCTTCGAAGGATTTAGCTTCAACCGGCTCCCACGTAACCATCCAGCCACAGCTTCCAAACATCTGGTCAGTGTGTCTGGGGCCGAGTCAGGATGGCCATCCATCAACAGATAGAGTTGGGTGTCATCAGCATACTGATGGCAACCCAGCCCAAAACTCCGAACAAGCTGGGCGAGGGGGCGCATAAAGATGTTGAAAAGCATCGGGGAGAGTATCGTACCCTGAGGTACTCCACATACCAAGGAGTGGCGCGATGACAATTCCCCCCCAAGCGCCACCCTCTGTCCCCGACCAGAGAGAAACGAGCGCAGCCATTGAAGGACTGTGCCCTGGATCCCCACGTCGGCAAGGCGGTGGTCCAGAAGTTCATGATCGACCATGTCGAAAGCTGCTGACAGATCTAGAAGAATCAGCAGCCCCGACCCGCCTCGATCCAGCTGTCTACGAAGATCATCTGTTAGGGCAACCAGAGCAGTCTCGGTCCCATGACCAGCGCGGAAGCCGGACTGGAATGGATCCAGAGCCAATGTTTCATCCAGAAACCCACCAAGCTGTTCAGCAACCGCTCTCTCAATCACCTTACCCAGGAACGGAAGATTCGAAACCGGGCGGTAATTGGATAGATCTAAAGGATCTAATGATGTTTTCTTTAAGAGCGGGCGCACCACTGCCTCCTTCAGTTCCCCTGGGAATGTCCCCGTGCCAAGGGACAAATTGATGATATCCCCCAGGAGGGCCCGCACCTCGTCTGGACACGCTCTAATCAGCCAAGACGGGCACGGGTCAAGAGGACAAGTGGTGGGCTTTCCAGCTCGGAGGAGTCTGTCCACATCGGCTGGGGATATCCGGTCGAAGTGGTCCAATACTGGACCCGAGGACAGTCGAGGGGCCTCCAGTTCCTTTATTGTATCCAAATTGGCAGGGAGGTCATGGCGGAGCAACAAGACCTTCTCCGCAAAGAAGCTCGCAAATGCCTCACAGCTATGTGTCAAATTGTTATTTAAATTTGGCTGTCCCTCAAGGGACGTTAAAGACCTGATTATACTAAATAATTGCGCTGGGCGAGAGCTAGCGGATGCAATGGAGGCCGAGAAGTATGACTTCTTAGCAGCCTTCACCGCCATCTCGTAGGTTTTCATAAAAGCCCTATAAGATGTTCTTGAGGCTCCGTCACGGGCACCCCGCCATACTCGCTCTAGCTGTCTGAGGTCCCGCTTCATTTTCCGGAGCTCCTCGGTAAACCATGGAGCCCGGTTTCTGCGGGGTCGCAGAGGGCGCTTAGGTGCGATCTCATCGATGGCTGCCAGGAGCTGGGTATTCCAGCCCTCAACAAGCTCAGTCAATGAGTCGCCAGGGGGAGCAAGGTCCCGCAAGGCTTGGCGGAATCTATCAGGGTCCATCAGCCTCTGCGGTCGAGCCCAAATCGGCTCGCCACCTAAGCAGGGTGGGGGTGGAAAGTCAATCCTGGCTTTCAGAGCGTAGTGATCAGACCATGGCACCTTCATTGAAGGAGACATGATCACATCTATACCTACGCCAAAGATCAAATCCAGCGTGTGGCCTGCTTGATGTGTGGGGCCCGAAACAAACTGGGAGAGCCCTAGTGTCGCCATGGAAGACACCAGGTCCAGAGCCTGTGAGGAGGGAGTGGCATCAGCATGGATGTTAAAGTCCCCCAATACCAATAGGTTAGGGAACTCCAAGGCCCAGCCGGCCACCGCCTCCAATAGGCCTGACAGGGTGGCTGCTGGTGCGCTAGGTGGCCGGTACACTAGCCAGACAGCCAAGCTCTCCTCGGAGCCCCACACTAGGCCAACACATTCAATGCCAGGGATCGATGGCGGTGGTAGAGCCCTGAAAGGACAATTTTCCCGGATTAATAATGCCACCCCTCCCCCCCGGCCCACAGTCCGCGACTGGTGGAGGACGGAGAAACCCGGGGGCACCATCTCTCGTAAGGTAACTGTTGCCCCTTCGCGCACCCAGGTCTCCGTCACACAAGCCAGGTCGACCCCCTGCGAGATAAAGAAATCTCGCAGGGTGGCGGTTTTATTGCCTATAGACCTGGCATTGCACAGCACCAGTGACGGAGGTGAGTAATCCTTGCTCACCCTATAATGCTGCAGATATATAGGACTACATGAGGTGTATTTTGTGGATAATTTTGCATATGATTAGATTTTTAAAAGAATCAATGCACTCCTATATAAACAGACACTCGGTGCAAGAGGTGTTGCAAAGTGGGAAAGCTCAACTGGGCCACACCTTCCAAATTCCCTGAATGAATTCATTTTGAATGGACTCCTCCTCCATCCCTAGCAATAGCCATCTCTACAATTTAACACATTTATATCCAGTCTTTCTTCCGAGTTTAAGGCATTTTCCATGGTTCCTGCTCTGTAGCCTACCCTCACAACAACCCTGTGAGGTAGGTTAGGCTGAGAGGAAGGATTACCCAGTGAAATTTTGGGGCTGAATGGGAATTTGAACCCAGATCTCTTTCCACAGCCCTAGCTTAACCATAAAATTTGCTTTATACTTCCTTTTTAAATGATATGCCTTTGCTAGCACCACAATAACTGGTTTCATAAGCAACCTTTATTGTGTGTGCCATCACAACAATCCTGGGAAATAGCGTGCTGTTATTCCCATTTTTATAAATAGAGGACCTGAGGCCAAGAGACATGCTCAAGGCCAACCTAATGGATCTGTGGCAGAGATGGGACTTGAACCCAGTTCTTTTAGAGAACCCAGTTCAGAAGGAAAGCTGAATAAGATGTCCTGAGCTAAATGTGCATAAGCCCAGGCTCCTTGAATACAGCGGATCTTACTTTAGAGTAAAGTTGCAGACTCCATCCCTTGGTTAACACTCTGGGGCCTGCATGACCAGAATTGGGTGTGGAGACACCCCCTGCCATACCACAAGAGATATGCACATTCACAAGACACAGATCACACACAATTACCTGATGAGTGTGATTCTTTGTGTATCTTTCACTTGAGCACCTCTGAATGGAAAAGAAGATGGATTACCCAGAGAGGAAGGGTAAGAGGACTGTGTCCAGGCGTTCAGTGGATCAGTCATGGTCTGCCCAGATTGAATCAGGGGAGTCCGCTTTGGAATCGGAATCAGATTACTCCCCCACTCCTAGCTTCACAAGTCAGACAACAGGTAGCTCTGTGGGCTGACTCAGTAAAGGACCTTGGAGTGAAGAACTCATGGGAAGTGCAGCCACTTAGAGCTGTCAAAGACAAAGGACTCGCTGTTGGAGCAATACAATGTGATGCTAAGCAAGCTGGGAGGGCCAGGGGGCCAGCCTTGATCAATGTTGAAAAGAGGGCATTTTGGGTCACTGGGCCTGCTTCCCAATTCTGCCTGCAGCTCCACTGCATAATGGATGCCATCTTAGCAATACATACCCTCTGACAGCACATGTGTATATGCATCACATGAGACAGAAAGGCCCGCTTTGAAAAACAGTCCTTGAAACAAACAGTAAACAACACTCAATTTATTCCTTTATATACAGATTCAGCCACAGGCTGAGACATTAAATTACTTTATAGCCCTTTCTAAAACAGGCCAGCATCCAAGGTCCCACATATTCTGGATGTTTCACTATTCTAAGAGGGGTAAGGGGACCTGCCCCCACCTCTTATGGAAGGGATGAGCTTATTTCTGCCTTTTCCTGAGCCCTTTAGCAAGGGAATCATGTCGCAGAAGGTCTCCAGCCATGGTTTTCTTGAACCCACATAGGTGGGAGATGCCTGAAGGGAAGCTGCAGGACAACTGGAGAATCCAAGCTGCGGCAAGCCAAGGCTCAAACGGAGGACGAGTCAGGAAGCTTCCTCAGTCAGAGAAGTGAAAGGCTGGCAGTGCTTGCATAGTGTTAGGCTCAACTCAGGTGTGCTACCTGAGAATTGCCTCGCATCAGTCAGTGCACAGTAGCAGCCTCTTCCTCACTCAGCCCACTGGAGTCCAGATCATCCTCACAGCTGGTCAAAGGGGGGAAAGGCTGGTCTTGATCAAGGTTGACATAAGTGACATTCAGGTTGATATAATGCTCCCCCTTTAGACAGGCTAAAATATGCTGCACTTCCTGGATTACTGCAGAGAAAGTTGGTCGCTCCTCAGGACTTGGGGCCCAGCAATTCAGCATTACGGTGTACCTGTCAGATTAAACACACATTACAGCAGGGGGAATGTAAGGCCAAGACCTCTAGCTTCAAAGCCTGAGGACAGTGTAGACTTGTGGTACTGCATAGCTGTACACCATCTCCTGGGCATGTTCCAAGATAACAAACTGCCATGCATTCCCATTCCTCATTCTCCAGCAACCCCTGGCCCACAGGCAATGATCCTGCTTGTTGGCTCATGTTCACTGGGATTTGTATAGAAAATTGGGGCTCTGGAACATCTGGCAAATAGGCTGTGTACTTATGATATGCATGGCTGGGAGGGGACTGCAAGGAAGGGATGGAGGCCCTCAGAGGGTCTATCAATCTGGATATTCATGGCAGCTCTAGGCAGTATTGAATCTGACTTGATAGAACAGGCTTTCTGGGCTTCACAAGCATCCCAAAGTCCAATGGACTTGGTAAGTTTCATCGCAGTGCTATATTGTGTTGCAGTCACCACATGGCCTGTTTTAAGAGGAACTTCCAAAAAGTTCGCCGAATGTTTGTCTCTAGCAAATCTCATCACATTGGGAATCTGGGTCATCTGAACAGTGTCAGGTCTCTGAACCTCATTGTTCACTGAGAATACCATGAAAGGCTAGCAGTAAGGGTTGTACAGAAAAAATGAATTTTAAAAGGCTGGTGCCAATCAAAAGAAAGGAGTAATATCTCTTCCAGTAAGCCCAACCTTTGCCCCCACACCATCTCATTTATAGCTTCTTTTTACCTTCCCCTCTGCCAGGGGAATATACTCTAGGTATAGCACACACCCCAGTTTATTGGGTGTAATGGTTCTAGGGGTTGTTTGTGTGTAAATCAATGCCACCCTTGGCTGGTTGCCTGAATGAACCCTTTCTGTCTGGACAGCCATGCGCCCGTGGCTGTCTCAATCGCTGGCAGAATCCGTTAGTGGGCGTTTCTTGAACTTCTTCCAGCAAAGAAGATCTTTGACGCCTAGTCTCCGCCTACTTTCTCTGCGCGGAAGCCTTCTGTGCAGGGAGGGTGTGGGCATCGGAGGACCCGTGCTCTCCCCACTGGTTCCCGGCGAGGAGTCTTGGAGCCACTTCGCCGATTCCCCCATCTGCCCCCCTTCTCCACTGGTGTTATGCTGATTTCCTTCCCCAGAAGATGTGCTGCTTCTCTCCCTCCCGGGACGCTCTCCGGAATCCCTCTGGAGCCCTCCCTCTCCCTCTGGCTCCGATGGCAGTTCCCTGACATTGGGGTACACATTTTTTTAATCTGCATAGTTCTGCATAGAATTCTAGAACACTTCCCCCAAGTATGACTGCCTGTGCCTCTCCTCACATATTTTCATGTAGCCCGATGGAGACCAACTGGATGCCATCTCAGCCTTCCTATCCCTCCACATGCTTCAAGGGTCTTGTTAACCCGTCCTTCCCTAAGGCAGAGGTTTTCAACAGCCCTGCCCCAAGTTCATATATACTCACAGAGAATCTGGGCAGTATTCTGGCTGCGGCAACCGTCTTCCTCGCAACAAATAGCGGGTCATATCATATGGGTCCACTTCAGGGTACGGAGAAGCCCCTCGCGTCATCAGCTCCCACATGAGGACCCCAAAGGACCACTGGGCAGAAGAGCAGAATGCACAGATGGAGAACACATATAGCAGAATGCACAGGCGGCAGTGCAGATCTGTGACCCCCAGAAGGGGCGCAAACAGCCTAGGAGGGCACCCAGGAGAGGTTCACCTGGCTCCTCAGCATCCCCCATCTACCAAGCATCACGTGTTTCCACAGTGTTGAGATGCAGCCTTTCATGCACAGGGGCACAAAGACATTGAAGAGAGGCCTGCCCTGAGTAGCTTGGACAGCCAAGGGGTCTGTTTTCTGACATGAGCTAACAATATGCACACGTAATCCAGAGAGTCTTATGGGTTATGTCACTCAGTGATTAGCGAGAGTCTGGAAGTATCTCTGTGTCAGAGAGACAGTAAGTGTGAATGAATGTGTGTGCTTGTATATGGCTAGGTATGAATGTGCAGGTGTGTGGATGTATATGAGTGCATTGGAGGGGGTTGGACTAGATGACCCTTGCGGTCCCATCCAACGCTATAATTCTGATTCTATGAGTGGCCGTTTATGTGGATGGCCAGCCTACTTTTTGTATTGGCCCCACCCACTGCTGCCATGCAGCCCTCGGTAAGTTTACCATGAGGGATGGTGGCCCTTGGGATGAAAAAACTCTTCCCCACTCCCGTTGCAGCAATTATACAGCTAGGACAGGAAACACTGTGAACGTGATTCTTCAACATCAACTTTCGTTAGACTGGTCATGCTGTTTGGATGCCTGATTATCATCTTCCAAAGCAACTACTCTGTTCCAAACTTAAAAATGGAAAGTGTAATGCTGGTGGTCAACAAAAGAGGTCAACAAAAGAGGTTTAAAGACTCTCTCGAGGCAAATCTTTAAAAATGTAGTATAAACACTGACAACTGGGAAACACTGGCCTGCGATCGCTCCAATTGGAGAACAGCCTTTACCAAAGGTGTCATGGGCTTTGAAGATGCTCAAACTCAGGACGAAAGGGTGAAACATGCTAAAAGGAAGGCACGCTTGGCAAACCCTTATCATGATCAACTTCCACCCGAAAACCTATGTCCCCACTGTGAAAGGACGCGTGGATCCAGAATTGTCCTCCACAGTCACTTACGGACTCACTGTTAAGACCCTGTCCATGGAAGACAATCTTACTAGGCTACGAGTGATTGCCAAAGAAGACGACCCTGGTTCCCGTGTCTAAACAGCACCCACTGCCTTTGCTTGCACTTACTACATCAGACTTGGTGGTAAATTTTTGGGTCTGCAGGCTCTCAAGGGCCATCCACTTAACCGGCAGCTTTGCTCTGCGGTGTCGCCGGATGCTGTAATATTCCTTGTCAAAGACGTCTCTGGCCAGCCCAAAGTCTGCCACTTTTACTGTGAAGGTCTCATCTAGCCTGCAAAGCACAGAGAGGAGAGGGGAGGGTTTAGAGCACACACTGCAGCCAAATGAATTACGGTCCCTCGGTCACGGAGGCACCATTAAGCGACTCAAGTCCCACTTCTGGACTTTTTGACATTTCAGCCCAGGCCTGAGAAATCAGCGTTTGCAGCCCTTTTCAAGCGGTTTCCCAAACAGCTTTTAGAAGGGCAAGAGAGAACAGCTTAGCCCTGCATGTAATGAGCAACCACCATACTGAATAGGTGCTCCTCCCAACCAAGGCGAAGCTGTCGCACAGTGAGAGAAGCTTGTGGGGCTTGTTCTGCCTGCTAATACAAGGCTTCCACAAAAATAGTAGGTGCAAAGGTAAAGCAGCTGTAGGTAGGGAATATCTATACTGACACCAGGGAGGGCCTATTTCTGTCAAAACACAGGGAATAAATCAGCTGACAGGGGAAGATGTCTGACAGACACACCCAGGAAGCCTGAAGGCCCAGCCAGGTATTTCTTATTTATTACATTTATATTCCTTCAAGCTCAAGGTGGCACACGGAGTTCTCCTCCGTTCCATTTTAACCTCCCAACAACCCTGAGAGGTAGCTTAGGGATGAGGGAGAGAGAGTGACTGGCCCAGGACCACCAGTCAGTTTCATGGCCAAGTGAGGATTGAACCCTGGCCTCCCAGGCCCCAGTCCAGCACTCCAACCACAATGTTCTACCCACTCATTTCAATACTTACATACAGTTCCTAGCAGCAAGGTCTCTGTGCACAAACTTCTTCTGGGCCAAATATTCCATCCCTTGAGCCACTTGCAGCCCAAAGCCTATTAAATCCTTCACAGTCGGGTTCTGGGGAAGAGCGGGGAGGGAGAGGAAACTTAAAATGAGTTTTCCATCTGGCTCTAGAGTTTATGCCCCTCTCGAGGTCTGAACTGCTTGCTTGTAACTCCCTCAAGCCAGCACAGCTGAAGCTAATTTCAGGGCTACTTCACATGGGGGAAATTTGCTACTTGGATATCACTTCTGGGTGGGAAATGGAGTGCGCCCTGCATGCGCACTGTCCTATGGGATGAGCGCATGAGCCGACAGACACTCGGCTGTAGGAATTTTCTGCCGGTAGAAAGTTATTCTCTTTTGGGAGCGCACGTGGCACAGACACTTGCACATTACTTGACAAGGCCTGCGCAGGGTGCAAGCCATATGTGGAATTGATGTTGACGCACGAATACAGTCTTATGTGCAGCTTCCCTGCTTAAGACTTTATAATAATGTGTTATATATGAGCATGCCTTTGTGGCCCCCTAGTGGGCAGAGGATCTCATTGCCTCTCCCCTATCTCATTCAAAGTGTGTCCCAACCACTTTTTTTTTTAATTGCCCTTGTCCCATGAGCAACATTTCAGCAAAAATAGTGGGATAGAGTATCTGAACATAAGAGGTAAAGTAAAGGTGATGGTACTCCTCCTCTCTCTCTTTTTAAAGCCACATGTTATTTTAGGGTTGGAGGAGAAGAAATTAAATATTGCAAAAAAATCATACCGCTGTAAAAGGTTTAAAACTGGCCGTGATTGTATTTGGTCAGCTAGCTAATGAAACAGGGCTGATAAAGGGAAAGGAACATAGGAAGCCGAGTCGGACTATTGGTTCATTTCACTCAGTATTGTCAACACTGACTTGCTGCACCTCTGTAGGATTTCAGGAAGGGGACATTCCTACCCCTACTGGGAGGTGCCAAGTTGGAGTGGACCTGGGACCATTTGCATGTAAAGTATGCACTGCACCACTGAGTCACCGCCCTTCCCAATAAGTTTTGTTGCTCACTGCTAATGACATTTCCCCCTGCGTCCAATAAGCACACAAGGTACACATGCAACAACATTCCGTGCTGTGTTTACAATGGCAGCGAATGAGCAGCCTCAGCAAGCGTCCCTTTTTCGAACGTACAACTGCTCTAAAAGTGCGCTGCACCTCAAACGGCAGTCTGTTTGAGGTGAGGTCTGTGGACGATGCGCTGCAATCGTTTGAAAAGCGCTTTTGCGAGAAAAGCTTTACTCCCCACCATCCCTCAAGGCCTTGCTACTGACAAGTCGCTGGAAGGAAGCGAAGGCTTGGCTTAGATCCCCATAAAGATTCAATTCTCTGTATGTAATCATTGGATACAAGATGACATTGCTGTAGGGCCTGTTTTCAAACACTTTAAGACAGACACAGCAGGTGCTGCCAGAGGTCACTGCTCAAACTCCAGACTTAGGCAAGATGACAATGGTCTGAAGGGCTTCTGCTTCCTTGTCTTAAATCTGTCATGGAGATGTGCGGTGCATGTCAAATCTTGCTTTGTAAATGAGGCTACATGGCACATATTGTGTGCGCAGATAAAATGTTTCTATGTAGAAATAAGACGAAAGCTGCAGGGAAATGATCCCATGTATACACATAGTAAAAATACATGTCTTGAGCGGTCACACACCTGACAGTGTACACGAAGTTTTAATGCTATTTCCTATGTAGAAATGCTACACCCTTAGGTGGCCACACACAATAATGGTAACTGTACCACTTATTTGATCGTTGCAAGCAATAATGATGAAGATGACAGTGGCTACAGCGGTGGCGGGGAAACTGAAGCTTGCTTTCTACCCCAGGCTCTGTTTTTCTCCCCAAAGTGAAAGGGAAGATGGTGTTGCTGCAGCTCTCAGCAGAGAGTAGCTAGTTCTGCACTGGCCAGGGTGGGAGGGAGACACGATTGTGCTCTGCGTCTCTGGCAGTAGCAGCAGCAGGTACATCAGCCACCAGCTCACGCTCCTACTGCTCAAGAAGGCACCGAGTCAGCAAAAAGCAAAGAAACACGCAACCTCTGCTCCTTGGATGCTGAGGTCCCGGCTGCAAGAGCAGAAGCTACTGCAAAAATAAGGTGGTTCGTACACATAGAAGGCTCCGGCAGAAACCTGACGAGAATGCTTGAGCTAACAAATTCTGCTGCGCTGCAGGATGGATTTCTCTCCCTGTCGCACCTGGGGGAGGGGAGCCCAAACCCTCAGTTGACTCATTGTTCATTCCTTGGTGGTGAACACCTAACTGGGGGAATGTGCAAAGACTGCAGTGATTGAACAGGAAGACATCCTGCAACAGGGATGCAGGGGGTTCACAAGGCCAAAGCAAAAGCTGACCAGAGTTGAAAGGGAGAGGAAGGAAGGGTCTGATACAGCACTGTCTCAGTACCCCCTTTCCTTAAATGTTCCACTTCACTAGGTGGGTGTGAACCACCCTCAACCCAACGGTAGCTTCAGGATCAGGAAGTCAGCATATTGGCATTGAGATGCTCATCTCCCAGAGCAAGCCCTCCAAGGGCTGACTTGCTGGCGTAAACCCAAAGTGGGAAGCAGTACACACCCTCTCCTCCGAACGGACAAAGTGCCGCAGGTCTCCATGCTTCATGTATGGCAGTACCACCCGGGGAAGCCCCTCCCGAGGGAGGGCAATCCCAATGAGAGAGAGGACGTGGGGGTGGTGAAAGCTCTTCATCAGAATCCCCTCTTTCAAGAACTCTTCCACCTCCTCCAAGTCCGTGATTCCTGGGGGAGAAAAGGAAGCAGGCTGTGAAAAGGCATCGGAGCAGAACATCCACACAAGGAACCGCAAAACTCATGGGAACTGGAGTGCAAGAGGTGTGCATGAAAGCAACACAAGATCCGTTATGGATGGCACAAGTAGCTCGTTTGGACTTGGGACAGGACATGGCAGCAGGTTAAACCTACGCCTGAATGTCAACACTGCAGGTAATAAGGGAGGGATGCCTAGCTGGAGTTAGAACTGCGCAGGGCTAGGTCAATGTGGCACGTGGGTCCCTCTGCTTCCCAAGGCCCCAAGGGATGCTGTTGATAAGGAGGATTCTTCTGAGACTACACTCAGAAGGCCGACAAGGCCTTGAAGGTGATTGGCTGAACTGGAAGCCTTTGGTATGTCTCATTGGAGATGATGAACAAACAGCAGAAGTTGGTTACAAAAGCATCCCTCCCTCTCCCCGCAACCCAGCCCAGGACTGTTTCCTGAAGTGTGTCAAAGAGCTTCCTTGGGGAAGCTTTAACAGCATGTCCTCCCATCCCCAACCTCTCTTCACAGTTATATCCACCTACTCTTGAGTGGAATGACATTGCAAAGGGACATCAAGACTTTGCCGCAGAAAATGGCACTTAAGCTAATGGTGTCTCCTTGTACCATGTCACTGAGCAAAGCCGAAGGAGAGTGCAAAGTAGGGCAAGTCTCCCTAGAATCCAGATTACGGTGCCATTTAAGGAAGGAATTATCCAAGGGCCTTCCTTCGATGATTGAATTGCCAAGTCTTCCCCTACAGAACTGAATCTATGCTAGTTATAGTCCAGTCGAAGTAGCATGATGCGCCTTTTCTCAGGGGAGGGGAGGGGGTGGAAGAGCCCATTCACTTTTATTTGTTAAGCAAGCAGAACACTCTTAGGAACTGTCCACTCCAATGCTGGAAGAGGGACATAAAGCATGTCCTTCAAGTTTAAATAACAGCAACAATGGGGCATGACCGGGTGAGCAGCTGGTGAGGAGGGAGAGGGAACAGGCCCCTCACCCCTTGGCTTGCTTTTGCAGGACAGTTAAGTGCAGTTGCCACTGCTGTGAGAGGAAGGAGGGATTACTCACGGTTCAGAGATTTAACAGCACAGTGTATATGTCTATGGTCCGAATCTATGTACGTTCCATGATAAACACTCCCAAAGTGACCTGGACAGGAAAAAGAACAAAAAGACCTACTAGACACACAGCCCAGCATGCAAACCAGGTACTCTCAGCCCAATCCATTCCCTTGAGTTTTTGCATCAGCCTCTTGCATGAGAGTGCTGCATAGGCTGTTTCTGTGCTGGAGGCACAGAATAGAACAGAAAACACTGTGACGACTTGCCACGTTTACCAGGATAACATGGGTGTGGGTGCGTGTTATGGCTTTTAGTTTGAAACACTTAAGCCTGAACAAGAATTCAGTGGGTTGCATCCAACAAAGTTGTCCAATTAGTGCAAGGACTTCTGCCTGTGCAATGGGACTTCCTCTGCCAGTAACACCCCCCCCCCAATATATTCTCCAGAGGGTTAGGAGAACAGATAAGGGTTGTGGAGAAAGCAGAGGGAGATGAAGTCCCGTTGCAAAGGCAGAAATCATTCTGCTAGTAGGACAACTTCATGGGGTGCTACCCTAAGTAACCCTGAAGTCTGTGCTTTCAAGATGGTAACTAGAAATGCCTAACAGAGAAAAGCACCTAAAAACGCATCTAGCATGGCGGTGTGGGTGGATGGGTAGGTAAGGGTACTCTTCAAACACAATTTGTAGAAATTGTAACAAAGCTTTGCACACCATGGGTGATTGATACAGGCAACCTCAAGAGCACTTACCTTTGCCAATGATCTGGTCCTGTTGCATAACCAGCTGCTCTTCGGGGATTAGAACATCCTTCACCTCTTCTAAGAGTTGCGGCCGAAAATTTTTAATGGAGTAAGAAGGAACCCGCATGAAGGGCATGGCAGAACCGTCACTGCTTCCTGTGTAAGAGGCGCTTCCAAGACTCACTCTAGAAGTACGGGGCTCTGCTAGAGCAGTGCCATCAAGAGAAGAGAGGAGAGGAGACTGGCGTTAGACAGGTGCTAGCGAAATGGTAATAATTGTTCGTTTTGCATCTCCTGCCACGGGGTCACTTCTGCATTCCTGGCAAGACGGTGTCCCCACATGTCAATGGAATGCCACATGTTCCTCCCAAACAAAACGACCAAAGGAACTGGGGCATGGAAAGGGATAGGTGTTTGAGCACAGCGCTTTTTGTTTATAGGACCATTTAGAGTGAACTGTGGAGATGGTGATGGGAATCCTGGTATCAACTTGGGACATGATTGCTAGTGCAAAGCCAAATATACCATACGACTAAGCCTGCTGCCCAAGCCAAGGCAATCCCACGATAGGAAATCACTAGACCAGACCACTTATATGACTCTATCCCAGCTGCTCCAAAGCACTAGGAGCTGTTAAGCGTCTCTTTATGCATCCTTACCAGCAGTATCTGTGTAATTAGGGTTGGAGGGAAGGAGAGGGATGCTCGTCATGCCCCTGTTGAGGCTTGAGAGTCTTTCCAAGTTTTCAGTTCCTGCAGAAGCAAAAAGGAACACTCAGTTCTCTTTCCTAGTTTGTACGCCCAGCCTCTCCCTGCCATGCCTAACCCTGCCCATCTTGCCAGCCCAGTTACTAAACCAGATTTGATATATGCCAATGCTCTGACTGGAGACCTCACAAACCATCACAATCATTAAAATATTGGAGAAATGCAGTTGAATGAATACCTTTATTGAAAGCTCTGCTCTGATCAGAAAGCTTTGTGAGTAGCTTGCAGTTTACCTGACTTCTTCTTCTTTTTCCGCTGCATGAATTTCATCACGAAAAATGCCAAGAAGCAGAGGAACAGGATGGCTACAACGGCCCCCAATGAAGCAGCAACAGGAGATAAGGAGGATTTCACAACCACAAAGCCAAGGTTTGTGCAGTTTCCATTCACACAAATCTAAAAGGAGGAAAGGACATGATGGAAGCAGATTATCAGCCATGCCAGAGCAATGGCATTCAATGGGCAGGAAGGAGCCAGGAGGTAGAAAGCTTTAGCGTCCTGAACTATCACACATTAGTAAACTTGTATAACAGATTGCCAGCTGGACAGAAAGGGAACAACTCAAATATCCAAGGTTGTTTAGAAGCCTGGAGGGCTGTTGTGTACATTGCACTATTAGTCCCAAAGCTTGTGGTCAGTCAAGATTTGGATTCCATGGAAGGGCATAGTTGGTGAGACTCCATGTGTGCTGTGGTGACATTTTGGGTGGGGGCTGTTGGAGTCCGTCTGTTTGGTCTGTTTCCTGCCCGGAAGGGGGATGATGACAGCGGTAGAAGGAATCACAGGGCAGGAAGAAAAGAGATCATGGGAAGGGGGCAGTGCAGGGCTTCACCTTTGCACAGGATTCCTTAAGCCTAGACTCAAGTGCAAAGAAGGCATCTCTGCTAAGGTTGTGATGCTCTTGTAGGAGGAGGAGGAGAACCATGAAATGTCCTGGAGGGAGGGTACCAGGATGGCAGGAGGACACATGGTACAGAGCTGTGTCTTTTATTCCCTTGAGGAGAAAAGCAGCAAGGGTGTGTGTCAGGGAGTGATACATTGAGGATGAAAAACAGCTAGTAAGGAAAGGATAAACATCTCCTCCCCTTTGTCCTTCTCTCAACCTGAAGGAACCCAAGAGGGGCAGGAAGCAATCAGAGAGTCACATATACAGTGTAATTTCTCTCACAGAATCTATAGAAGTGACAGACACACACACCCGCCCGCCCCCTCTTCAGTAGTTAAGACAAGTAGCCAACTCCTTCTTTAGGCAGGATTTGGCATGCTCTGTACACAAATAAACTTGAAAACACACACACAAGAAATTCTAAACTCTGGAATGGCCAGACAAAAAAGAGAGAGAGAGAACGCACATGCATTTCCATAGTTGGCCTGTAGCAATGCCTCTGAGAACAGAGAGTGCCCACACACCAGCAGAGAATGACCCAGGGAAATTATTTAGAGTCATACTGGGTGTGCCCTTGAAAATCAGTGCCATCTAGAATGTGGGCAGTGATGCAAGCATGGGCACCAGAACCAATTTTTTCACCATGTGCTGTTCAGTGCAGGAACTCCAGGGCAGTAGAACTGATTATCCACCTCTTTCTCACCCCCACTCCTGAGAGTCTTGTGGATACACAGATGGATTTTTAAAATTTATTTAAACTATTAGGAGTCCCTGGTGAATTCCAGACACGGAAAAACCCTTTCCTAATGAAAAATGAGTCTAAGGAGTAGTGCCAAAGGGAGCCAGAAATTTCCCAATGTTCTGCTGTAAAAATGTATCTGCGGCTTGTTTGGTTTGGATATGCCAGGTATTTCTTTAAAGACTTTCTTTAAAGGTCAGAATTAAGTCTGCTCTGAGCTCACAAGTTGCTACAAAGGCCAGATGTTATAGATGACGTGGGATGACACATCCACAGGATGCGACCCAGATCAGTTTTCCTGGGAGCCATGTCATGCTTGGCTGCTGCCTTCGCTACTTCTCAAACATGCGTTATTAAATAGCCTATATGTTTTAAAAGGAGAGAGAAGCAGAAGTAAGGGGGCAAAAGCTTGTCAGAATGAGAATGCATGGAGCTACTGCCCCACGTTTGTTCAGCTCCATTTCCTCTGCAGCCAGTAGTGGAAAAACCAAATGAGTGACTGAAAGGTATCAGAGGAATAAGCAGCCAGAACGGACATGATGGGAGGAGGCCAAGCTGCAAAAAGGAGAATGGGCCAGAGGAGGCAGAGAGAGAAGCATGTCATGGCATCAGTGCTGGTTGCAGAGAACTGTTGCAAGCTTCACCTGTGCTGGCAAACGATGCAGAGGGGAGTTCAGGTCCCCGGGGATTCGGCAGGTCACCTCGTTTTTCAGCACAGTGGGGTGGCATTCTTTGCCAGCCACAGTCATAGAGATCGCCATGCAGCCTGCCAGAGCGTCCAGTCCTCTATGCTGTACAAACAAATAAAGACATATACGTTAACCCATTTCGGGAAAAGATCTTCCTCACTGGGCCTCTTGGCTTTGTTTCCCAGACTCCCATGTAACCCTGCACTGAATCCACAAGCACTTTTGTCTATCTAGAAGCAATTGTTCTGATGATGCTGTAGCATCCCTACCCTCATCCCAATCCCCTCCCGCTCACATCTAGTACAGGGGGAACTATAAACAGCAGCACCACCCTTGCCATTTTATTTAATGGGACCCCCTTCGCTATATACAACTCGATTTCTTGGTGCCAATTCATACGCTGCTAAATGGCTCTGTGAGTTAATTTCAACTTACGGAAGTGGTGTACACATATGAGCACTGCAACTTCACAAAAACTTCAAAACAGCCAATGGAGCAGCTTCTTTGTGCAAAGAATTACACATTCCCAGAAAACCCTACTTGCAGACACTGCTGCTATGTCCTCCGTGGCTGTGATCCTATTCATGTTTACTCAGAAGTACAACCCACTGTGTTCAATGGGGCCTATTCCTAGGTGTTGGGAGGGTGTTGCCTAGGGTTGCAGCCTAGGTTTCTCTGATGCCACACTGCTCAGGTGAGCACAGCAATATTGTTCACACATATTGTTGCCCGACTGACAATTACATACATGGATCTCGATCTCATCCTCTCCTGGATTGATTGTGTACAATTGGTCTTGCTGCTCAAAGGGGTAAATCACTGGCTTGGGGTAGTAGCGGATGCGGAATGTCTGGTGCCTCAGAGCTCCATCCATCAAGATCTTCAGGTTCCCATGAATGCTCGCTGCCTTGTTTTCCAATGGGTAGCGAGGACTCTGGCACACGAGACTCGTAGCAGACCTTTCCCCCTTACAATCCTGAAGACACCAAGAGAACAGTTTAACTTCATTTGACTTAGTTATATCTATCTGATCACTGCTGGAACACTGGATTCCGTTCAAGGGCACACCTTGCTGTAAACTAAATAGGAAGGGCAGTGTGAAATTCAGGGGTTGAAGAATATGCCTTACCATGAAAGACAAACTACACAAATTCCATAGCTTAATTATGCATTCTGTGCAGCTGTACTTAATTTGCCTGCTCTGTACCTATTAATGATCAATTTTGTTGCTTCCTTGACGCTGTTATTTTACCATGCTGAATCGATGGGATTTAAATCATGATTAAATCAGTGAGAGGGAAAGGGCACATTTAAATAATAATAATAATAATAATCAAGTCTCTCGGTGATACTTCATCATATATTTCCTAAACAGTGGTAAACATCTAAAATCTGCAAATCAGGCAGAGTTTAAGAATTCATATTTGAGAAATAATTGAACAAGTTCTTCATTTTCATAGAAAATATTCCTTTAACTCAGTAGAAGACAGTTTAGAGATTAGGGCTAATATATTTATATCATTTGGTAATATTCACCAACTTATTCTTTAAGAGAAACTTAGCATTTTCATTGTTTAATGATCTACTTTAAAGAGTTCTGAATATTTTTTTAAAGCACATTTTACATTTTTTTTTTAAATCCAATTTTTATCTACTCTTCATGCTGGCATTTTATTAAATGTGTTGGTACCACCCTGAAAGGTGGCCTATAAATACAGATGACGACAACAACTCCGCCTCCTCTATACCCTGCACAGTATTCTATCCCTTTCCTGCAGTTTTTGGTCTCTTTTTCCAATCCTTGACAAAAATGATTTTTTAATCTGCCACAGCAAAACATGATACAGTGGTGCCTCGCAAGACGAAATTAATCCGTTCCGCGAGTCTCTTCATCTTGCAGTTTTTTCATCTTGCGAAGCACGGCTATTAACGGCTTAGCGGCTATTAACGGCTTAGCGGCTTTAAGAAAAAGGAAACAAACTTGCGAAGCAAGCCCATAGGGAAATTCGTCTTGTGGAACGACTCAAAAAACGGAAAACCCTTTCGTCTGGCGAGTTTTTCGTCTTGCGAGGCATTCGTCTTGTGGGGCACCACTGTACGATCATCCAGGATAAAAATTCTGAAGGATGTTAATTGCTGAACAATTCACAATTCCAGCAGTTTTCATGTGATTTGATGGGGAAAGCTTTTACAATGAGCAGAATCAAAACCAGGTTTATTTAAGGCAAAGCATAAGGAGAAATCGTTAAGAAGAATGAAAATAAAGTCAAAAACAACAGCAACTGAGTACTTTTAATATAAGGGGGGCGGGGACGACTAAAAAGGTTGTAAAAGTGTACATTCCATAAAGGAAATGTTAATGTTTGAGGATAAAACAACCACAATCTATGCATAGCTAGGTGCCCCTCAGTTCATCTTTTCACACAAACGAAAGAAAATGCCTTTAGGTAGTCCTGGAAGAACTATTCAAGGATATTCTTACTCATTTAGCAGCAGGGAGGCACCTTCCCGCACAAACTTTGCTTTTGCATTACCTGTTGGTGAGCTAAAACGTCACTACAGACTGTCTTCCCCCCTTCAAATTGTAATGATTTATTGGGTTGACAGAGAACATCCTCTCCATTAGTCCATCTCTGAGACAAGTCCCTACAAGGACATACAGGGAGGTATTCTTGCTGGGTGTCCCACACTTGCGGGAATCTGTTTCACAGAAAACATCTAAAATGCTGAAACTAAAAATTTCTAACGCTTAGACTTTCTCTGAAGTACTGTACGTCCTTTTTGTTTCAAAGTGTTAAAAGCACATGGAGAAGGGTCACTTTGATATGGTGAGTATCTTATATATGCAGCATGTTTACTCAGGCCAATAGGACTTGCTCTCTAGAAAGTGTGCTTAGGATTGCAGCCTTCATTTCTCTCCCTCCACCTGGAATACTCACCTTAGCTTCAGTAAGCACTCCGGCAGATTCAAACTGCACCTTTGCATAATACACTGAATCCAAATTGGCGCCACTGATGGATATATTTGAACCTCTGTAGAAGAAGAAAAATCAGAAGGCTGTGAAAAAGTTTCCTTATCAAGAGATCCTACAGGTATATCCTGGTTGTGTAGGCGGACCTGGGCAGTAAACATACGAAATCGGTAATGGTACATCCAGTTCTCAGTTCCTGGTGGTATAAACATCCAGGTCTGTGTAGGCCATCTAAGGCCTATTTGGGATGAGATTTAGGCTGCAATGCTACATACACTTAGCTGGGATTAAGTCCCACTGACCTCAATGCAATTTACCTCCAGATATCTGCATTGAATAGCACTGTTGCTATGGAGCTTCCATTTAATGTGGTTAAATGAGATATTTGGTGGCTTGGGACCAGGAACTTTGCTTCACAAATAACATGATGTGCATCACAGAAAGCCTAGAATAGGGAATGCAATGACACAGGACGGAAAGAAGACATTCTTCCAAGAATGAGGGCAGCCTTTGACAACCAAGGGCCCTCCAGATGTTTTGGAATACAATCTCCAGCAGCTCCGGGCAGTGCTAGCGCGCTCTCTCTCTCTCTGTGTGTTTCATATTCCAAAAACATCTGGAGGGCACCAGGTTCATGAAGGCTGAATAAGGATGTCCACTCACTCATAGCTGCAGTTGGGAGCGATATGGTGTATCTGAGGATCTTTTCGATACCAGAAGGGCTTCGGAGAAAGAAACGGCTGTTCATCTATTACTACAGTCACAGAAGCGTTGCCCAGGTTGTTCACAGGAGGGGTGGTACAAATTATGGCTTCCTCTTTCTGGCTGGGGAAAAGAAGACAAACAGCATGGTAAGGCCCTGCTCAGCCACCTCCCATTTAGTCCCATCCTCCACAAGGTCAGGGTGGAGGCAGTCCTTTGCATAATTGCATCATTGTATGTTATGTCACGGTGCTGGGCCATGCCTGCAAACTGCCACCATGTAAAGAGGTGGACCCCCACACAATTTTCTGTGCCTGCTTACTCTGGAAAATGTGAGAATGCTTCACCAGGGATGCAGGTCCTTACAAGACTCATGTGGCACAGCCTGATGACAGCGTGACTAATTTAGTTAAGGAGATGCAGCATAACCAGACCCGGTGTCCGTGGTCCAGCTAGGTCAGGCACTGGCTGAGGGGTTCAAGGACTTGGGGGGGGGGCTCCCCTCACTGCTCTGCCCTGGCTGTGCTGCCATTCACCTTGGATGCTTTTCATGTGGTGAGTGGGGGTGCTGCTGCTGCTGAACAGCTTGGCTCCCTATCCCACAATTCTAAGGGATCCAAAATGCCATGCCCCGCTACATAGATCTAGCAAATGTGTTGCTTTCATAGGTTCATAGTCTGGTTAGGGCTATATGGGTCTGAGCTTTGCATTGTGTGTAACTTAAGATGGTGGATAGTCACTGTAGATGGGAACCAAGCTTAGTTGCCATTCTGAAGTGCTGTTCCTCATCCATCTGAAGCAAGGGGATAGATGAAGGCTGAGAAAGCATGTGGCAGCCTGCACAGCCATGGCAAGTAAGGCAAGATCATGTCCTGGTTGGCGTGGGTGCTGAGGAGTGGATTGCTAGCACTGTGCCATGGCCTGGCACCAGCCCTGACCAAAACTACCATGCACTTTGGGATAGAGAAGAGATGCAAAACCATGTTTCTATCTTCCATTGAAGTTGTAACTAGATCCTAAGTCATCCTCATTCATTTTGAGGAACCTTAAAAAATAGTAGGTTCAAGCTAAAACTTTCCTTCCATACAGTACTGTATAGGCAGAAGATGGTTGATAAGAGGAGTGGTGGCTGTCCTCTCCCTCACATACCTCTGCCTAGAGTAAGCATGATTATGGGAGTATTCATAACCATTCATAACAAAGGGAGATGGCAGATGGCTATGAACTCACATGCCCTGCAAAGCTCTACTCGGTTCATTTGCTTTCACACAAGCAATAGAGACTGTGACTCATTAGGAAAGTATGACTACGAGTGATCGCCAAAGAAGAAGAAGAAGATGACTGGTGTAGGGGCAGGCAACCACAGATTTACACACAAAAGAACACAGGAAAAGAGCTGTCTGTTGCATCACCAAGATGTGAGAAGGATATTTTTGACACCTCAAACACTGACCATTTAAATTTAGATACTCTGTATCATTTTCCTGGAGATAATACCAAAAGAACTGGAGAGATAAGGAAGCTGGTAACATCTTATAAGGTTGCCTCAAACCAGCCTAGCTAATGTCTGTGGTCAGTCCATTAGCTTCACATTAATGCTACAGTGCTAGAAAATGAGAAAATCCAACATATCTGGAAGGTGGTCAAAAATGTGTTAATCAACTTTCTAAATGTATTTTGAAAACCATAGCTCTATCCTTTATCAAAGGCCATGAATGCAATTCCCAGTCCGACAAGCCAATGTTACAATTAAGTGTCACTATTTGCCATACCTTTCCCTTGAGACCAAGGGACAATCCCGACCATTAACCATCACCTTCCTTGTGCCTCCCACCAGAACGTTTTGTCCTTGGATAAAGATCTCTGTTCCTCCAGCCTGTGGGCCGTACGGTGGATGGATAGAAGTTATTTTAGGCAGCTGTTGATAGTGAAGAGAAGAAATGCTAAACTCACTGTATCAAACTCTCTGAGCCCTGTAACCAACTTCGAGAAAGAAAAGGGAAGGCCACTGTTTTTCACAGACATTGAGGTAAGGACAAGAAGTAAAGAATTTAAGCTGTGGCAAGGTAAAGGGACCCCTGACCATTAGGTCCAGTCATGACCGACTCTGGGGTTGCGGCGCTCATCTCGCTTTACTGGCTGAGGGAGCCGGCGTACAGCTTCCGGGTCATGTGGTCAGCATGACTAAGCTGCTTCTGGCGAACCAGAGCAGCGCATGGAAACGCTGTTTACCTTCCCACCAGAGCGGTACCTATTTATCTACTTGCACTTTGACGTGCTTTCGAACTGCTAGGTTGGCAAGAGCAGGGACCGAGCAACGGGAGCTCACCCCGTCGCGGGGATTCAAACCGCCAACCTTCTGATCGGCAAGTCCTAGGCTCTGTGGTTTAACCCACAGTGCCACCCACGTCCCTTGTGGCAAGGTAGTTTGGTGTAAAATATTAAAAGAAATCCTGACCGTCAGGACCAGAAAACAGAATAAAAGTAGACCTTCTGGAGAAGTGTTTGCCTAGAGTGGCTGATTACTTGTTCTCAAGTAATAAAACTTGATGTTAGAGATTTCTTAAGCAGAAAAGCCAGGGCTGGACCTGGGGGTTTAAAAATACAAAGCAGGTTTCCCACCAAAGCACCCAAACCCAGTAGCTGAGATCAGCAATCTTGCATTATGCCTCTGCACCACTAGCTCCCATGGAACACCAGCTGCAGAGCACCAGAACACCTATCACTGGCTCTTAGCGGGTCTATTAAATTCTCATTACATCAATGAACAACAGCCATGAAGAAGCATGCAGGAGCAAAGGTAGTGGAAAGAAACCAAGGCTCACCTTAAACTCAAAGCCACTGAGGACTGAGGAGCCACTGATGTAAAATGGGGTGTGCTCCTTCTCTACAACAGTGACCTCAACCTTCTGTGGCCCCAGCATGTTCACTTCCTCTTTTGGTGTCAAAGTGCAGACAATAACTTCAACATAATCTTTCCAGCGTGGCACTTCACTGTACCTGAAAAGCAAAAAGGGTGCTGAAAGGATGCATAAGAAACTAATGTGGTTATGATCTGCCTAATAAAGTCTAGTGGCTCTTTAGCACCATGAAATGGAAAATTATTCAAAATAGTTCCCTTGTACACTACTAATCTTAGGGTAGATATGGGGAACCTTCCGCCTGTGAACCAGACCTGGAAAGCTGGACCTCCACATTTGACTTGCAGGGCTGTTTCAGGCAAGCCACACCTACCTGCCCTACACCTGATGTTATACATGAGGGTGTGGCTTCAAAGGAATATTAATGAATTTAACATAAGATCAAGGTTATTGCTTCGTTGGAGCAAGGTGCGCTCCCATCAGCTTATGAACAGTGCCTGCTTCCCTTGCTCCAGCAGAAGGAAGCAGTTCCACTGAATGGAAACCAATTCCATTCTTTTTTGAACCTCTGAAAGCTGGAGGTTCAAAGAGTAGCTTTGGTTTTTAGAGGTTTAATGAGCAGAGAGGGCTATCTGCAAAAGGGCTTTCAAACAGCCCACACTGTGCTTTGAAGTCTCAGCAATCAGGGCTTCAAAGTGCAGCATCACCTGATAGTGATGGCAGGTGACTGAGAGGTGAGTAAGATCACATCCGTCTGTCAAATTTGGCTTGCAGGGGTAGGGAGATAAGGAACTGGCCTGCAGGTGACACAATGTACTGCAAAAAAAAAGATGTGGTACATTATCTGACCTGCAAGCCAGTTCCTTATCTCCCTACACCTGCAAGCCAAATTTGACAGAAGGATGTGACCTTACTGTTGGAGATGTAAAGAAGGGGAAGGTACATTTTACCATATGTGGTGGGACTGCAAGATTATTATTTTTTAAAATGGGAAATGATATACAATGAATTGAAAAAAATGTTTAAAATAACATTTGTTAAAAAACCAGAAGCATTTTTGTTGGGTATTTTAGGACAAGAGCTGCCAAAAAAAATTGGACATTATTCATGTATGCTACAACAGCAGCAAGAATCTTAATATCACAAAATTGGAAGACTGGAGAAATACCATCAAAAGAACAATGGCAAGAAAAGTTGATGAACTATGCAGAATTAGCAAAACTAACGGACAAGTTGTGTGAAAAGGACAATAGTGACTTTGAAAAAGAATGGGAACCTTTTATAACATATTTGCAGAAACAACAACAAAAAATGAACTCATTGGCAGGGTTTAAATAAACATTTACAACTTTATTTAAAGAGAACAAGAAGTATAGCAATGGGACAACATAGTATTAAATACAAACAGCAGATTGTATCATTTGATGTAACAAACCAGAAATGGAAGCTGAGGGAAGTCAACAGGGAGGGGGGAAACTGGAAAATGAATGTTTAGTAATGATGATGGATATTTGTTGTAAGAAAGAAAATCAATAAAAATTATTATTATTTTTTTTAAAAAAGATAATGTACCACATCTCTCCCTTACAGCAATTCATCTTTGAAGGGTGTGTTTGCAGAAAGTGGCAACAAGAGGATGGGTCTTAACCACTGTAGTTGCCCATCTATGGAATGCTGTCCCCAGGAACGCTTATCGATGCCAAAATTGCCAGTTTTGAGGAACCAGGCAAAGGCATTCCTCTTCCCCCAGACTTTGGGATCTCAATTTATACTGAAATGTGCTATGTTCTATGGTCTGTTTTAATGCTTCTCTTTTAATGGGGTAGGATAGGAGAAGTCCTTTTTATTCTTGTTAATAGATGAGCACCTTCAGAAAAATATAGAAATTTAGGTTTTATGTTTGCTTATTCCATGGTTTTTGGAATCTACCGTATTTACGCGAATCTAATGTGCCATCGAATCTAATGTGTGCCTCAATTTTCAAAACCTTGAAACCAAAAAAGGATTTGCTGGCGAATATAAATGAGCCATCAAATCTAATGCACACCCTAATTTTCATGATGTAATTCGGCAAAAAATGGTGTGCTAACTTTGGCCCATCCATTTCAAGAGGTTCACTCTGAGTAAAAGTTAGTTGAATACGGTCCATACATATATATTATTGTGGCAATTTTCTTTGAATGCACCCCTGCATATTGCAGGGTGAACTCAGGGAGCCGGCTTCAGTAAATACACAATGCCTGGGCTCCAGCATGCTGTTATAACTCCATCAACTGCTTCTTTCACAGAGGGTTTATCATCATCCTCAGTAGGGATTGTGGTGATGGATCAGTTTGGGTCAAGCAAGGGCTCCAGCTTAGAAACACTTGATCATTTCTGGAATGGAAGAATTCACCTATTCCATTTGCGAGTCCAGAGTTAGATGTGAAAAATGGATTGGGCGACAGCAAGACGTATCAACCGTGACTCCTGTTATGTCTTCCTATATACCTCTGTTTTTCCCTCTAAACAGTTTTTAAGAGGTATTTCCTTACCCAAATATGACTTGCCCTCTTGAAGAAAATGCTGCCAGACAATGCTCAGTTGTTGGTTTTAGTTTTTTGCGTAATGCAGATCAAAGCTCACTAGAATGACTGACTCCAGCATGGGCCATGGAGGTGAAACTCTATTTGTACTAATAGGGAACAGTAGAAACTGCTGTTTCATTTCCGCTCCGGGAAAGCTGCCAATGTCTAAACTGTGACACACAGAAATGTCTCCTCTCCTGATTTCAACTTGTAAGTGTAAGGCTGCTATGACATCATCTGAGGGCCTCACACAGGCAGAAAGAAGTACCAGAAGGAACTTTGGAAAAAAGTCATATTCTAACCATAAGCCCTGCATTTTGCATCTAGTCTATGAATACATTGATTAAATGAGAAGGAGCGAAAGATGGATTTAGCCACATGGACAGCACTGTGCTAAGTAAAAGGGGTCAATTACCCAATGACTGAACTGCTACCCTCACAGAACTGGCAGGACCTCTGCAACCCTGAAGACTAGAAAATTCTCCCCCTGTAAAAAAGTGCTTAGAATCTCAGGATTGTACTGAGATTGTTGGATGCCACATATATTCTACACTCCACAGTACTTTCATACTTTCATCTTGAGAGCTCTGGAAAAGAACATTCTAAACCAGCACCAATGTTTTATTCATATTATAATTCCCTTCTAATGGTGCTCAGGGAGCTGTGAGGAAAGAACAACAAACCACACAAAAATTCATTTAAGCTGAGTGGTACAAACACTCTGAGGTGAAAGGAGAAAGAGAGTCTGTTCACTAAGGCTCTCACACAACCTACACCGTACCCCAACATAGCCCCATGTCTTCCTAAACTTGTCCCTTGGCTGGCCCCATTTTTCTTCAGGAAGATACCAGAAGCTGAAGAAAACATTAGACCACTGCTGGCTTAATGTCCCTTAGCAGTGGAAACACAGAGTCCAAACCAAGAGAAGAGAGCACTTTTCCACAAGTTTTCCCCAGACAGCTTATCAGCTGTGGCCTCACTCTCCCCATCTGGCCTCACACATACCACGTGGAGTCTGAACAGAGCACTGGGCCATTGTCAGCCAAGGCTTCTGAGATTAAGGGCTCATCCAGACTTCCACTTGTCCTTCCACTTTCTGCTAGGAAAACCTGCTCTTTAGCGCTGAATCGGAACAAATGTCAATCGGGTTTTCTGCAGATTGGCGTTTGCTCCCATTCAGTGCTGGGTTTTCCCGGGGAAAGCAGTGGGGTAAATGGAAAACTGCTCAGACCTGTGCCTAGAAAGAACAGGACAAGGGTGAAACCCTCAGACCCGTGCTTTCTAGGCACAGGACAAGTGGAAATGTGGACCAGCCCTTAATCTATGCATCATTCAGTAGGCTCCTGGTGTGAAGCACTGAAGAACAACACCAAAGGGAGATAGTTCTTCATAGGGACCATGGGGCAAGCATGCACAAAGGAATTCCCTTCGATCTTGAACTCCAACCTGGAATGTAAAACTCCTGGACGAGAGGGAATATTGCTTAACTTTGTACATTATAGGCTGCTTGCTTATAGTCCATCTTATTTTGAAGGTTCAGGGCAGCTTTCAACCTGAAAATACAGGGTATAATTCAACATAGTGCTAAGCAGACTGCTCCACCAGCTGAAGCATTTTTGCTTGTCTGATGGCATGCTCTCTCCTCTCCTCTCCTCCCCCTTGTGCAGACTTCCACTAGCGGGACCAGATGGTTGAACATAGCCCTTAACTTCTCCAAATTTATATATAATTATAACACTATGGGAAGTCTCCATGCTTCTACTGACCTATCCAACCTACCTTCACCCTGCAAAGGTAGCCCAGACACACAGGCCTAACAAGTCTTCCAGAAGGTGCTCAGGCTGAGATTGTGGTGAATCTCCAAAGAAAAACAGCCACCAAGAATTCCTCTCTGCACACCTTTCTCACATGCATAAGGAACATTTACAGAATGCTAGTCTGTGTAGATGCAGGGCTGAGAAAGTGAACAGGAAAGAAGGAAGGGGGAATAATGTTTGCAGGCTGCGCGTTTTTTAACTTTCAAACGTTACCTGTTTTCTAGGCTCTCTTCAAACAGTATGGTGCAATTCTTCCGTCCCACTGTAACCTTGTAGTCACCAAGGGTTGAAGGTGAGGCATCCATGCCACTGAAATATGAACCTGAACGAAAGCCTGAGCCACAGAGTGTCACCTTAGTGCTGCCTTGTAGTGGTGCATTTCTGGGGTAGAACTGTGAAAGCATACAAAAGCTTTACTTATGCAGTCACCAGCAAGATTTGATACACCTTAGATACACCTGTCTTCTGCTCAAGTGCCAAACACCAATAAGACCCAGTTATTGGCACCAGGCAATGCTGCAGACATACTCTAACACAAAGAGAACTTACATGGGAATGGCATTTTTTTCTCCAGGCCCTTCTCTAACTGCTGCAGAAAGCCTTAGGTTATGATTCACTTCCATTTGGAGGAAAGATGTTGAATGAATTATTAGGATAGGCTGTTGCTCAGACCAAGTGCAGGAAAGTTCACCTGCATGCAGTAAAAGGTGCACACAGTCCATATGGGGAACACAAATTGGCATATATCTCAATTACCTGCAATTAGTTAACATGTGGTTTCAAAAACTGTCTAGGATCAAGGCTGGCATGGTCAGGCTAAACTAATGGTGCGATGAAGTCACCAACCAAACCTTGAACAAAGGTGAATAGCAGCAAGCTGGGATATTCCCACTTCTTGAAAGTGCTACTTTGGTACTGAAAACATTTGAGCAGGAACATTTAATACGCCCTTGCTTTATGCTCACAACAAACTTATTTTTCTTAACTGTTGAAGCCAAGTGAAAGTGACTTGATGAAGGCCACCCAGTTTGCTTCAAGGGTGAGCTTAGATCTGAATCTGCTGCCCATATTCGAAATCAGTATAAACACGGTATCACAGCATTTGCCTAAAATTTAATACAGGGAGCAAAATATCCAAATGGTGAAACATTTAAACAACTCTAAGTGTGCTTCTTTAATAATATTTTTATATGTTATTTATCTAGTTAAAAAATGAATAAAGAAAGAGTGAAGTAGAAGTTTAAATTTATTCCTTTATCAAGCTATTACTCTGCCTCTTTTTGAAGCCAAAGTAATTTGACCTAATGACTCCCTGTGACGACAAGTGATTAATGTTAATGGTTAAGAGTTTACCTCAGAATGGTTTGCTCTGCTAAATATTAACTCACCTTAACGGGATATAGGAATTGCAGTGCGGACACATCAAAAGCCACAAAAAGACAGTCTTAATCAGCCCTAGCAGCAAACCATGATTATGCATAGACTCTTTATTAGTATCAAGGGAACTTTTTAGATGCCTGCAGTGGTGTGAAGATGACCCCATTCCCAGAGGAGCCACTGTATACCTGGAGTGTGTGTCTAGGCAGCCTCTCTGACAGAACTAGGGAACCTCGGGCCCAGGGGCCAAGGGCAACTCTCTTTATCTAGTCCTCAGCCACACCTCCTTCTCCCATCCACACCTCTCACTAGTCCTAGTCATATCCTCCCTGAGCATTTCTGCTTGTCTGGAATGTGCCCTTGAGCTCTGATAACAGCCATACAGAAGCTGTGTTTACATTTCTTGCTTTGTCTACTTTTGCCTCAGGCGTCACCTACTACGGGCATGACACCCACAGAAGGTTGCCCAGGTGGAAATGTGGCCTTTGGCCTGAAAAAGCTTTCCCCCACCCCTGCTGTAAAAGGAGCAAGTGTATGTGGTCTCCATATACTGGCCGTTTCATGTGCACCAGCCCCAACCTGCTTGAGTTTCCGCGCTATAGCTGAAAACTCATCAGTCCACCTTTGTCCCCACATGACTGTTCCTTGTGTATGTCAAATGCAGTGAGTTGTTCCAAAAGATATGAAGGATGTGAATGTGTAATATCGATATAGGCTTTCATTGCACTAGGTTTGTGGGTTTTCTAATTTTCTGTTTGGGAAACAACGACACTGCCCTCACTATAGGCAAAACACAGGAGAACACAGTGCTCAATGATGCCATGCTAAAGTCACCCTTTCAGGAAAGGAGAAAAGGGTCTCACAGAATAAAAGAGAGAGGAAGGGTGTGTGGGGGGGGGTTGTCCCCCACCCCCATGGCTCCACTCGAGAAGTTGAGCCAGTGGTGAGGGAGATGTCTTAAGTGCTCTATTTGGAAGAACACGCAAAGCAAGAGGTTAAGACAGAAAGAAAAAATACACCCCGTGGAAAACATAATAACTAATGCAAAATGCAGGTGGTGCACGTCTCAGGAAATGCAGGCATTATGGGTCCCAAGATGCCCAGAGTACTTTAGGCTTTATGACAAACACATTTGACAAACAGAAATATTAAAAAGCCAGACATTTAACAAAGGGTGGAGGGAAGAACTAAGGCAGTCCCAAAGCACCAAATAGCTCAGTGAGCATAGCTGCAGTGTGCATAAACCACCATGTCAATGTACCATTAGGCAATCTCATACATAAGAAGATACTTGCGTACATCAGTGAGGACAGGAGAGCAGCTCTTCTGGTTCCACTCTGCCTTGCAGTCTTCCTGACGGGTGCATGCATTTCCACACCAGCCACACTGCATGAAACGCTCTGCCTTCAGGCAGCGGAAGCATGTCAGGAAATGGCGACAGCCTGGACCAGTTATTTTCACCTGGGACACCTGCAAGATGGACAGTTGCAAAAGAGGATGGGTGGAGCTCAACTTTGCATGCAGAAGGTCCTTCTTTCAATCCTCAATGTCTCCAGGTGGGACTGGGAGAAATCCCTGCCTGAAACCCTGGATAGCCACTGCCAAGCAGTGCAGGTCAGCAGCACTGAACCTCCAACCCACTGTGAGATCATTTCCCCCAGCAGGCTGACCACCCACTGCCCCACACCTGGTATCATGTATGACAGTCAGGTGTGGGGCAGGAGAATATATGTATCCAAAGGGGCCTTAAAATGCACACCCAAGTGTTCACTGGAAAATGGGTTTGCATCAAAGAATCCAAGCCCCACTTGGATCAGCTTCGCTATAAAGTATTGGAAACTCCTGGGTGCAGCCAATCCAAGCAGGGATTGACGTCACCACCAAACAGCTAAATGGCAGTGACTTCAAGGCTGGCTTGGATCCACTGGGATCTTCCTGTGCAGCACAGCTTGAACTCAAGCTACACTGCCAAGTATAAATGGGTCCTTTGGCATCATGTTGATGTCAGGCGATTGACAGGGGGGTGGCACTTAACTCCCCCGTGCTTGGCGTTGACAAGCCTGAGCAGGATGAACCAATGACCTGACTTGCTGTAAGGTAGCTTTCTATGTTCCTATGTCAAGGGGACTGATGGTCTTTCCAACAGCACATCTTTCCAACAGCATGTACTTTGCTCACCAAGAAAATCAATTTATTTATAAGTATTTTTATACCGTCCTTTAACCATATTCCCAGGGTGGTCCACAACAGGAAAAACCCAATGAATGCAATCTACCCTCAGAACAGCCCCCCTTGTGCATCTACCACACTCGGTGCTTGTAGCTTGTATCAAGGCATCAAGACATCAGAGAGACGAAGCAGGTGGGCTCCTAATACTCCTGGTCTCAGCAAGGAGCTGTCATCAAGTTCTGAGCTCTGTTTTACAGCTGCCCGACCAGAATATTTTTTTCTCCCCCAGTAAAGCTAGAATGAGTTGGCAGCAGAAAATGCCAAAAACCTTGCTGAAATCCAGTGGGATTTTCCATTTGATGAAGCCACTGAGACCAAAAAAGGTTAGGTAGGCAGCCCTAGAGCTATCAGAAGAAGAAAGTGAAGCCCAATGAAATGGTGACTTAGAAGCACCCATTTTTCAATTAAAGTCCCAACATCCTAGGAGAGATAAATGACTGGCTAGAGACAGCAAGTTCAAAGGATTTCTGTAGAAAGAAATGAAAATTTAAAGGGCTGGAAGAGTCAAGGAAATGCTAATGGAAGAATAAGGTGAAAAAGTAGCTCAGATAAGCCTTTGTGATCTTGAAGGGGGAGACATCTGCTACTCTGACATAGCTTAAGAAGATAGTTCTTTCCAAAAAGGATCATACCCAGGGTCAATCAGTTCTGGAGGACTGTATCTCCTCAGAATGCCAGAGGTAAATTGAATGGGTACAATTCTATTATTCTATGACTAGGCTAGAACTCTTATCCCTTGTGTATGCATTTTCTGCAGGCAGGCAGGCAGGTTTTTTATGTGGGGTGCTATCAAAACATGTACACTCTATGTGCACTCTAAACTGGTGCAGAATGCCTCTGCCACTCAGTTTTCCTGAATATGTACTTTGGGTCTGAGATGATGGATAATGAGATCAGAGCAACCTCAGCATTCTCTCCAGATGTAAAATCAAAGCTCCTGTAGAATAACCTTCCCCCCACCCGGAAACAAGCAAATAAGTAATGCTTCCTTTGAAATCTCAACCTCCATGCACAGTCGAGCTTCAGAGCTTCACATCTCTTACCTTTTTTCCTGTGACAAACAGCAAAGAGTCATCCAGCTTGCTGACTTCTCGCAGCACTGGCAATGTCTCCCCCAAGGAGAAGTTGGCCAATACGTTTGTGTAGAGATTGGATGGAAGAACCACCTAGGAACATACACACACAAAAGCTTACACACCCTCAGCAGCTGTTTTTAGTGGCGCAGGGACAGTTGTAGGGAACTTCTTCATTAATTTGGTAACCACATCTGTCTGCTGGGGCTGCGAATTACAAGCAGGAGAGTAACTCCACATTTTTATGAACATCTCTGCACACTGCTAAGTGCTATGAGATGCTGAAATAGACGTATGAATAGATTTGGGCACCCGGGATTCATGTTCAGAATTCCTGATACTCTGCAGGTCGACTCTCCAACAACCCCAAGAGTAATTCCTAATAGCAATTTCAATTATGATAAATCCTTGAGAAGTTTAGCTGTTGACACTTCCTACAAGAAACACTGGGAATTATAATTTTGTGAGCATGTTGAGAAACCCCTTGTTTGTTATCCCTAGTTCCCTCAAAGAGCTAGAACAAGGGAAAGGGTTTCTTGTAGAAAGAATAAGAAGAGAATAAAATAAAATTAGCTTAAGTTGACAGTGGAAACATGGTAATATTTCCTAAATGTTAATGGATTGGCTTTCAGCTTTACAGCTTTAAAAGTACCACAAGAAGCCATTTAAATACATGATGGTATTTAAAGAGATATTTAAACCCTGGCGGCAGATGATAGCACAGAGGTTCACCATATTATAAACACATATTAATAGATATAAAAAGCAGAGCTGCAGCTCTTAACTGACCTGCAGAACACGTCCTTCTGATGTGCCTAGATGAGCCACAGTCACCTCATCTATTACAGTTACAAAGATGGAGGTCAGCAGCACTCCCACCATACGTCCATTGAAGAGGTCCACCCTGTAGTAATTTGTAGAGATGAAGGTGGGCTTCTTCCAGCAGCTGGTGTCCACCAGTGGGGCTGAGAAACTTACCTGGCATGACAGAGAACAGGTGCTGTTTCAGATGCTAAGTGAAACATGCCAGGAGTCTCACACTGGGGACTTTGGCATTCCCACACCACCAGGTCACCAGAGGGAGCTTCCAAGTCTGGCCTCTGTTGTACAGCAGTGCAACCCCCATAATGGCCAGAGGGGATGCTAATGATTTGTTGCGCCAACCATAACAAGTGACTTGAAGTTTCAATAAAAGCTTGGCTGAACCTATACAATTGTTCAAGGCTGAACAACTTTTTAATGACAGAAGGTACTAAGTAGACCCCTGCCTTGCCTCTACTTGCCTCATCATCCAGCTCTGAAATTTGGGGGTTTTACTGATGAGCAGGGCATAAACCCTCAAACAAACACACAAACACACCAGGCATACAGCCCACCTTAGACCACATCATCTGTCTCTGGGCCTTTGGATCATTGCCTGCCTGCTCTGTAACCTGACCAATGGAAGGTCTGGATCACGCTGTTTGCTTCTGACTTTGCTGGGCTCTGACACGGAACAGGAAGGTTAAATACCAATTATCTAGTCTAGTCCCTCTCTATCAGCCTGCCAAAGCGAAGAATCGTAAGACAACAGCTTCTCCAGGTTCACCCTTGCCCTCTGCTGGAGCCTTATGAGACTAGAAATCCTGGTTTGTTTACATGCCAGAAAGTCCAGCTGCCTTTTTATTTAATACCCTGGCAATAAATATATTCTGCTTTCTTCCCCTATTGTACCCATTTCTATTTTGTTTATTTATTTAGGAATGTCAAACAGATAAATAGCTACGTGATTTTTAAAAGACATATGAAGGCAGCCCTGTTCAGGGAATTTTTTTAGTGTGTGATGTTGTACTGTGTTTTTACTATTTCTTGTTGGGAGCCGCCCAGAGTGGCTGGGGCAACCTAGTCAGATGGGCAGCATATAAATAATAAATTATTGTTGTTGTTATTATTGTTGTTGATATTATTATTATTATTATTATTATTGATTAACACACCTACTAACTGAGTTTTTTGAGGCAGCTTCTAATATATTAAAAATTGAGTTGTTATGTGCATAATCACAAAATGTACAGTATTTGTATGTTTTCCCCCCAATCCCAGCCCATAAATGGCAGCCAAATGAGCTGGATGTGAGGTCCCTGCCAGCCAGGTCTTTCTCACTGGGCCTCTCACAGCTTCTGGCTCTGGTGGCAGAGGCAGGAAGTGCTAAGGGAGAAAAGGTGTTAGAAGCTTCTCCTCAGTCCTCCAATGTTCCAACGCCCCATACTCTTACCATACTTTCACCCATAGTCCTGCAACATAAGCCATGTGTCTGTTAGATGTCACTATATAACTGAACCAATCAGAGTCTGCATTTTTAACCAAATAGTCCCAAGTTAAGGACACAACATTCAGCCGTACACAATACATTCCTGGTGTATTGCTTCTCCCTGCTTGATTGCAGCAGCACATGCTATCCTGCTACTTATTATGCCCTAGACTAGAGACATTCTCCTCCAGTATATGAAGCTGAGCTCACAAGGAAATGAGAGTCTTCTCACTTGGCCCTGGATTAACACCAGCCATTCCTAGCACACAAGCAACCAAATGTTTTCAGAGTAGACAGTACACTTTAGTCACAGTCAAAGCCTGCAGAGCTATAAGGAGCAAGAGCAGATGCTGCAGGAGAGACTGACCAATTACTGTAAACAAAGCAAGCCTTAAGGACACACAAAATTATGCAAGGCACTCTTATGAAATGGAAGAGACATCTGGAGTTTCTTCAAGATCAGATTAATGAGACACAAAGCAAAGGGCAATATAAGCAGCCAAATGACAACTACAGGAAAGAGGAAAGCGTCAGTCATTCTTCAGAGAAAAAGACAAGAGATTAGGCTTAACTGAATTCACAATAATGGAGCACACACATAGGCATTTTTAAAAAAAAGAAAAGAGGGAAAATAAAACTTGCAATAACACCCCACCAAAACCCAGTTCAGATTTAAGAGGAAGCCATAGTTTCCTGCTACATGAATAAGCCATCTGCTTATGGTTTTGAGCAAAACACAGATCCTGATAACAACCAATCTCAGAGAATTATGGCTTCTTTCAAACCTAGGATTGACTTGCCTAAGATCCAGGACAAAGTGCCGCCTTTTGGAAATTGACCCCAGACATCAATTCCGCCTTTGAAATCCCGGTAATGTCCAGGAAAATCTGGACATATGGCAGCCCTATTTAAACCACAGTCCTGCAAGCCTAATCAGCGCATCAAGTCTTCCCTGGTGGCCTGCCAGGCTCATTTCCTGAATTTGTTGGCAGGGATGCTACTGCAGGGAAAAAATAGTCTGCAGAGCACCAGTGGTGACAGAATGATTTTCATTCCCATCATGGCAACGGACAGGGCAGAGATGCAGTGCCTCCTGGGCACTTCAGAAAGTCAGTGTGATGTCTTGGGAATAGGGCAATGTTTATTCCCATCATGGCTTCATAGTTTCAACTCCCTGGCAACCCAATGCCATTATGGGGGTGCAAATTGCTCCTCCTCAATCATTAACTCAATTATCTGATAAGGGAGGAGACTCAACCCCCCTCATCAGCTGATCTGCATAGTTCAACTGAAAAGGTTTCTCATGGGTCATAGACCCATAGAATTGTAGAGTTGGAAGTGATCTCAAGGGTCTAGTCCATGGGTAGGCAAACTAAGGCCTGAGGGCTGGATCCGGCCCAATCGCCTTCTCAATCTGGCCCGCAGACCGTTCGGGAATCAGCATGTTTTTACATGAGTAGAATGTGTCCTTTTATTTAAAATGCATCTCTGGGTTATTTGTGGGGCATAGGAATTCATTCATTTCCCCCTCCAAAATATAATCCGGCCCCCCACAAGGTCTGAGGGACAGTGGACTGGCCCCCTGCTGAAAAAGTTTGCTGACCCCTGAGTCCGAACTTCTGCAATGCAGGAATTTCAACTAGCTCATGCATGACCAACTGTCGTCCAACATCTGCTTAAAAACCACCAAGGTAGGAGAGTCCATCACCTCTTGTGGGAGTCTGTTCCACTGTCAAGCAGCTCTTACTGTCATAAAGTTTTTCCTGATGTTTAGTCAAAATCTCCTTTCTTGTAACTTAAATCCACTGGTTTGGGCCCTGGCCTCCAGGGCAGGAGAACACAAGCTTGCTCCATCCTCCATGTGACAATGCTTTAGACATTTGAAGGTGGCTATCATATCTCCTCTGAGTCTCCTCTTTTCCAGGCTAAACATACCCAATTCCCTCGACTGTTATTCATAAGGCTTGGTTTCCAGACCCTTGATCATCTTGGTTGCCTTCCTCTGCACACATTCCCGCTTATTGCCCAGAAGTAGACACAGTACTCCAGGTGTGGTCTGACCAAGGCAGAACAGAGCGACACTACTACTTCCCTTGATTGGGACACAAGACTTCTGTTGAAGCAGCCAAAATAGCATGAGGGGTTTTTTTTGCTGCTGCATCACACTGGTGACTTGTGTTAAGCTTGTGATGTGCGTAGTGTGCATGTGTGTGTGTGTGTGTGTGTGTGTGTGTGTGTGTGTGCTGGGTGGCTACACATAGTCTTGGCCACACCCATTTCTGGGATACAGCCCCTGCAGTGTTTGTCAAGGGTGGGTGTGCACTTCTGTCTGCAGAAGTTAAATCATTTCTGTTTTTAAACTATAGTTTCAGAACAAGCTAAAATCAGAAATCAAATCAAGATCCTGGCTTGTTCTCAGTTACCCTAGTTTTAATAAACTCCTGAGTTTGGACATCATGAGGAACCATAGTTTGTTTAAAATCAGAAGCAGAAGGTTCCAATCTCCTTCTTGGGAAGAGAGATAATGTGAGCCCAGGGCTCACCACAGGGAAACATGGTTTCCTGTAATGTCTGAAGTGGGCTAATGACCCAATATGCAGATGGGCACATGGCCATCAACAGGGGGCTACAGGAGGTGCAAATGTACTAGGTCCCCCTCTTAGCTTTCTCTTTAAAAAAAAGTAAGTCAATTGGACACGATTTTATGACATGTCTAAAGAAAGTTACAAAACACGGAGGCTACTCTAATGCTTTGGCACTTGCAGGCAACACCATTGTGAAGGATGCTTAATCACTGTTGCCAAGCAACCAGAGGAAGGGATGTTGACTACCCCCATTTGGGACTCAGGACGGGGAGCCATCCCAGAGCAGGAGGGGAAGCTGGATAATAATAATAATAGCTCATTATTATTAGTAGTAGTATTAATACTCCGTCCATCTGGCTGGGTTTCCCCAGCCACTCTGGGCGGCTTCCAACAGAATAATAATAATAATAATAATAATAATAATAATAATAATAAAAGTGATAGAACCTAAAACATTAAAAACTTCCCTAAACAGGGATAGAGGAGGATACTCTGGTTTGTTTGTTTAAGCATTTTCCTCATGTCTACATTATTTCATTCATGCCCCAAGTATGATACCTTCACAGAACAAAGCATAACTGTCTGGCTTTTGTATGTTTTACTCAAAGGTAATTCCCTTGAAATGAAGGTTTCACAAAAAAAGTGAAATCGCAACCTGCCCCCCACCCATCCCATCTAGTGTACCAGGCCCAGAAAATCCTGTTGGCTTCCCTTGATTTTACAGAAAGATCCTTCATCTTCAGGAAATATCAATATGTAATAAATGTTCAGAGAGAGAGAGAAAATAAAAGGGTGCTTTCTTCCTGCACATCAGGATTTGTTTATTTTTACACTTGAAATGCAGCTGGGTTTGCGGAAAACCAAAGAAAAGGCAAAATGTCTCCCAGCGGATTGTTCACATAAAAACAATTACACAACAGACATTCATGTGATGGAACTGGTAATTTCAGGAGGAAATTCTTAAAATATTCCTTACTCCAGCAATTGACCTCACAGTATCAGGGTTAAGTCACCGTGAGGCAACTATTTTAAAATCACACCACACTGTGTGAATAATCCTAAATTTGAAACAAGGCAGCCTTGGGGTATAATTATAGGATGAA